ACCTTCATTCCTAACCCCGTCTTGTTCTTCTCCAGGAAGTGGGTAAAAAGAGGAAGGTACCTCCTGGGGACTGAAGTCTAGAAATCTCTTCTTTGATGATTTGAAAAAGGGATCATAGCAAGTTAACACTGTAATGTTATCCAGCTGAGACTGAGTAATGTAACATTACAAGCACTCTTCAAGATTGAAGGTCTAGTAAATGAGACTCACAACGAGGGCTGTAAATCAGGAAAGGCTTTCCTGAGGAGGTCCAAAATGATCTGAGTCTTGAAAAAATTGATTGGAATTAGACAGGTGAAGAGAAGGTGGGAGGGTTGATGCAAGACTCAGTGGGAAAAATAAGCTCAGCACATTTGGGGATCAGTAACAAAGGGTTCATGAAGAGATGCAGTGAGAGATAAAGCCAGAAAGAAAGAATGAGGCCCATCGGTGGAGAGCAAGACAGAATTTGGATTTTATTCTGTACGTAATAAAGTGTTACTCAAGGTTTCTGATTGTGTACAAATGGTATTTCAGAATTATTCATTTGCATGTGGGCCCGAAACCTGGCTCTAAAAAGATCCAGAGTCCAGACAACAGGTTCCTCAGTTGTGTTTTAACATAGAAAAAAATGTGTGTGCACATGGACTTCAAAAATTCAGAATTCTAATAAGGGCAGTCTTGCTTATATAAAAAATGAAGAAGTTGGTGGGATATACATACTGAGTTTAGACAGCAACAGAGTCTAGCTTCTTTTTCCTTTCATCCTTTTACTTTGTGTGTGAGGCCTTGTCTGTAGCTACCATAATGTTTGCTTCATTATGAAAACTATAGGCTTCATTCATAAACTTGTCCTCAACGCTGGTATGGGCCTAATAAATTATTAGAAACTATTTGCCAAAAATTAAACCTTACATAAATAATAACAACAAACTTTTAATAAGGATATTTAAAGTTAATATACAGACAGGGATCGCTGAAGGTGTTAAGCATCTAGTAATTCAGGCATGCTGGATACAGTGATGGTGCCCTAGGAACTAGGGCTTTGAACCAGTTCATTCTGGTTCCACCCCCTGCTGAGAATTTGCCTTTCCACCTTAGATGTACTGAATCAGAATCTACATTTTAATAAGATCGCCAAGTGATCCTTTTGAAGGCCCATGTGATTCTTATGTTTACCTGGGGATCTTGTTAAAACGTGGATTCTGATTCAGTACTTCTAAAGTTGTTGCTGTTAGGTGCCATCCAGTCAACTCTGACTGATAACAACCCTATGTACAGCAGAATGAAATACTGCCCAGTCCTGTGCCAGCTTCATGATCCTTGCTATACCTGAGCCCATCGTTGTAGCCACTGCATCAGTCCATCTTGGTGAGGGCCTTCCCCTGTTTAGTTGACCCTCCGTTCTACCAAGCATGATATCTTTCTCCAGGAAAGGATATCCCTGGTCTTACAACATAACCAAAATGAGACAAAATCTGGCCATTCTTGGTTCCAAGGAGCATTCTGGCTGCACTTCACTCCTTCCAGGACAGGTATGTTAGTTCTTTTAGCAGTCCATGGTACTTTCAGCATTCTTCACCAGCACCACAACTCAAAAGCATCAACTCTTCTTCCATCTTCCTTATTCACTGTCCAGCTCTCACATGCATATGAGGCGACTGAAAATACCATGGCTTGTGTCAGGCACACCTTAGTCCTCAAGGAGATATCTTTGCTCTTCAGCACTTGAAACAGGTCCTTTGCAGACAATTTGCCCAGTGCTATATGTCGCTTGATGTCTAACTGCTGTTTCCATTGGTGTCAATTGTAGAACCAAGCAATGTGAAGTCTTTAACAACTTCAATCTTTTCTCCATTTATCATGATGCTGCTTTATGGGTCCAGTTATGAGGATTTTTGTTTTCTTTATACTGAGATGTAATCTATATTGTATACTGTTCAGTCTTCATCAGTAAGTGCTTCAAGTCATGTCACTTTCAGCAAGCAAAGTTGTGTCATCAGAGTATTGCAGGTTGTTAATGATTCTTCCTCCAATCCTGATGCCACATTCTTCTTTATATAGTCCAGCTTCTTGAATTACTTGCTCAGCATGCAAACTGAATAAGCATGGTGAAAGGATACAACCCTGATGCACTCCCTTCTTGACTTTAAACCATGTAGTGTCCCTTTGTTCTGTTTGAATGATAGCTTCCTGGTCTATGTACAGGTTCCTCATGAGTACAATTAAGTGTCCTGGAATTCCCATTCTTCTTAATGTTATCCATAATTTGTTATGATCCACACAATTGAATGCTTTTGCATAGTCAATAAAACACAAGTAAACATCTTCCTGGTATTCTTTGCTTTGAGCCAAGATCCATCTGACATCAGCAATGATCACCCTCATTCCACGTCCTTTTCTGAATCCAGCTTGCATTTCTGGAAGTTCTCTGTCAATACACTGCTGCAACCGTTTTTTAATGATCTTCAGTGAGAGTTTACTTGCGTACGGTATTAATGATATTGTTTGATAATTTCCACATTCTGTGTGATCACCTTTCTTTGGAATGGGTATAAATATGGACCTCTTCCAGTCAGTTGGCCAGGTAGTTGCTTTCCAAATCTCCTGGCATAGCCGAGTGAGTACCTCCAGTGCAACATCCGTTCGTTGAAACATCTCAGTGGATATTCCATCAATTCCTGGAGCCTTGTTTTTCACCAATTCCTTCAGTGCAGCTTCAACTTCCCCCTTCAATACCATTGGTTCTTGATCATATGTCACCTCCTGAAATGGATGAACATTGACCAATTCTTTTTGGCACAATGACCTCTGCCCATAAATTCCTTTCATCTTCTTTTGATTTTTCCTGAATCACTAAATATTTTGCCCATAGAATCTTCCAATATTGCAACTCAAGGTTTACATGAACGTGTTCTTCCCTTTTGGTTTTCTAACTTCAGGTCTTGGCACATTTCATTGTGGAAGTGCAAATTCTCAGCATGGAATCAAAGCAGAATGAACTGGTTCAAAGCCCTGCTATGAACATTAGCTAGAACTCAGGTATGTTTCAGGTGAATAAAAAACATCATATGTGAGTCACCTTTCAATTACAGTCACCACCAGCAAGCATATTTAAGAAATGAGAACTACAAAGATCAATCTCTGTAAGATCCTGCCTTGGTCTTCTTCTCCCTTCTTCCAGTCTGAAGATCAATAGAGCTCACAATCTCTCACAAGCATCATTTCTTTATTATAGTTCTAAATTGAAAAAAAAAAACAACTGTCTCCTAAGGCCTCAAAGTTACTTTGTATTACTAGTACTGTAAATAAATTGAGTGTATGTATTTCTTTCACAGGGAAATTACTTCTGAGAAAGATTTTTTTACATTTCTGACAAAATGTTGGTGCATATCAAGTGTATATGTTACCTATCCATCACATACATGAGTAATTAAAAGTCACAAATATTATTTGGAGTAATGTATACCATTCACCAAATGGTCATGAATTTTATTGCATTTTCATATCCACATATATGGGTATGCCAGAATGACATGGAAGCCTCACATTTCATGTAAAAATTTCAAGCCTGGATCTGAAGTGAGTCTGGCTCCTTTTTAGGATGCACATTTTAGGGGCAACTTCTTCATCTATATGACTGCTCCCTAAATTGGGCGGTGACTCAAAAGACAGCTGGAAAGGAGAAGGGGGTACTGAGCAAGTGCTACTAAAAAACAGCAAATCACTTCTGCAAAGTCCCCCCAAACACACACACATATACACACATAATCTTTGTGACTTCTCATCCCCATCAGATATGCTCTTACAGACTATTTCATCTTCCCAGGGTGGAGCCCAGAGTGAATCTGCTCATCTCAAAACTAATGGGATGGCCCTGTTACAGGAACTATGTGTGTCATTTGGTTGTGGAAATTCAAGTTTTTCCACACCAAAGAAAGGAGGCTATTAACCCTGGTTTTAGCACTAGGTACCATTAACTGGGTCCATAGGGCCTACCACGATCTTGTGTCTTTAAGTCCTTGTTACAAAACCTCGCCACCTGCTCGACCCCAGCTTCAGCCAGTGATAAGAGAACTTGCTGTCTCTCTTCACATCTCACATTTCTGGATCCCACTGTTGTACATACACACACACACACTCTCTCTCTCTCTCACTCATTCTCTGTCTCTGGATCTCTCTCTTCCTGAGGCGTTCAAACTCTGCCATCCTGTGCCCGCCAGGCCACAGAGGGCGGTTACAAACTTACTCCTCGCTGAAATAGCACCGCCAGGCCGCCGGAGGAGAGGCCCAAGTGGGGCCCAGGCCCAGGCTCTGGGTCGGGCTTCAGGTCGGAATTGGACCCAGGGCAGCCCGCGGACCTACCTCCCCTGACACTCTGCCTGCCCCCGGCGCACGTACCGGGTGACAGGCCCCTATAGGTTCCATACCTGTCACCGGAAGTGAGTGAGGAGGGCAGTATAGGCATTTCCTGTGACGCGAGCGCCTGGACTCCATTAGGCAGCAGCTGGGGAAGAATCAACACACCAGGGAGCAGAGCGGAGCGGACCCGAGGACTGAGGCGGCAGCTGCCTCTGCT